GCAGCTCGGCGGAGCGGCGGCCCCGCGCCTCGCGTCTCCCTCCACCTGGGCTTCAGCGCCCGCGCGCTGCTCCGCCCGGAAGCCCCGGAGGCTCCTCCCAAACACAGACCCGCGTTAAGCGGCTTCGCTGACCTCACCTATCCGCACTCACCTGCCCCTGACCTGAATGAGAATCCATTCACTGTATGACCGAGGGCTTTCCAGAAGCATTTTAATGCAATTGCACATGCCTTTGACAGACAGATGGTTTACATCATCTCTACCACCTAAACTGCTAAAGCTGAAAAATCAAAGACCTAAGGCTGGAAACACGCATATGTACATGGAAGATTCCACACCTCGTGGGAGACTGTCCGAGGGAGGTGTGATACAGGCATCCTGCATGCACATACTACGTCAGCTGCTCGGACGTGTTACAGATGTTGGGCCAAAATGACTTAAAGAGAATATTTATTTCAAACTAGTATTTTAAAAAGAGATTACAACTAAGTCAAGTCACCAGTTACTAACAAGTTTTAAAAATCAGTACCGTACTTTGATTTCAACACTTTCCCCTACATTAGCGGTAGATGTCTGTGTGCAGACGGATCTTTAGGGGGAGAAAACAGACTGAGAAAAATAAAAATACTGTAGGAAGCTATTGGCTAAGAATAAGAATCAGGAAAAGATAGTGGAGAATACTTTTAGTGTCCTCAGAGCCAAAACAATTGCTAATAGAAGGGAAATATTAAAAAATATGTATTTTGTGATAAAAATGTGGCATGTTGTCTAAAATAACCAGCTATTTACTACATTCAGTAATTGTCTAAAATATAGACAAATTTGTATTGTGTGATGAAGAAGAAACAGGGGATACTATTGAAATTGATCTACTCATTCACAACAATAGCATACAGTATATGAAACTGTCTAAAAGTATATGCTAGGTACTTAAAATAACAAATATAAAACCCAGATAGGTCCTATGTTTATAAACTTACAGTTCAGAGAGAAAAACACAGTTAAATAAGCAATTCCAGTACAGTATGAGGCATGCACAATGAACTCTGTTGAAATATGGAGAAACAATGAACTACACAGAGGTTTTGGGGAAGGCTTCTTAGGGAGTGTCATCTGAGCTGGATCTTGAAAGCTGAGTTCTGTAAGATGAAGCAAAACATACTAACTGTTCAGACAAGGTGCACAAAATCACTTTGGAGTAAAAGAATCCAGCATGCCTTGTCGTTTGAATGGTGTAGGGAGTATTATTATGGATTCATTTTTTTTTTAATGTAGTCAATGCATACCAACCACTTATGGTTATTTATTTTTTTGATGCTCAAATTGTCCTATCTTTGGCCAATGGGATCACNGATTTTGTTTTTAATGTAGTCAATGCATACCAACCAATTATGGTTATTTATTTATTTTTTTGATGCTCAAATTGTCCTATCTTTGGCCAATGGGATCNTTTTTTTTTAATGTAGTCAATGCATACCAACCACTTATGGTTATTTATTTTTTTGATGCTCAAATTGTCCTATCTTTGGCCAATGGGATCACCTTCAAGCTGGATCCACGATCTTTTGACATGNCACCTTCAAGCTGGATCCACAATCTTTTGACATGACTCGCTTAAACTTTGAGAATTTATTTGCTTTATGTCACAATAAGATGGCTCTAGCTCATCTCGTATATTCTCCACTCTAGATCCAAGAGGAGTCATTTCTCCAAGAATTCTTAGTATCTTACAGTGGGGAATGGCATTCAGAGACCTAAATTTGGGCAGAAGGAGTGAGCATTTGTATTAGGTGTTTCCGTGAGACCAGTAAGATGACAATCGACCATTGTATTTAACAACATGGAAACAATTGTAAATTAATGATCCTGGTGGCATGTTGAGGGTGAGCCTATTTGGTTCAAGTGAGCATGGGAGAAAATAATTTGGAGACAGGGAGTATAGACAAATGTTTCAAGGAGTTTTATTATAACAAAAAGGAGACCACTGTGGTGGTAGCTAGAAGAGGGTATGAGGTCCAAAGAGTTTATCTTTTTCTTTTTTAAATTTATCTTTATTGTTGAAAGTATTACAGGTGTCCCATTTTCCCCCCCTATTGACCCCCTCCACTTCGCTCCTGTCCCCTCCCCAGGCCTTCACCCCGTTGTTGACTGTGTCCATGGGTTATGCTTGTANGCGCTCCCATCCCCTCCCCAGGCCTTCACCCCGTTGTTGACTGTGTCCATGGGTTATGCTTGTATGCATCTAACTTCTTTGGTTAATCTCTTCCCACCCTCCATCCTCCTTTCCTCTTTCCTCTGAAATATGATTGTCTGTTACATGGGTCAATGTCTCTGGATCTATTTAGTTTGTCAGATTCTTTTGTTCATTAGCTTCTTCTTAAAGAAGACCCTTCAACATTTCCTGTAGTGCTGGTCTGGTGGTGATGAACTCCTTTAGCTTTT